CGAGAAACGATAGATGCTGCAAGATACTCGGCAAATCGTATCTTATCTGCTGCATCATCGTGTATCTTTTATCGTGTATTTATTTAACGTCATCCTGTTTTTCAGTTTCTTTTAAGAATTGTTCTGCGCGTACACTGTGGATTACATCATGCTTCAATGACATTCGATTTTTTCAGATAAATCACTGATTATCTATATCTTCGTTTTTTCTTTCTCTTTTTTTTCCACAGCAATAGTGTATTTGTACGTAAACGCAACACTTAATGTTGTAACACGCTTGCGAATTAATCATCTTATTGCTAACCTCAATGACTAAATGTTTTCATGCTCTATATATTTACATAGTAGAATTTAATTCTCATGATTTGCTTCAAGAATTAGTACGGCAAACGAAACATTTCATACACAAAAATTTTCACAATCTGTCCGCAACGCGGAAATATAAGATACAATAAGATACAGTAAGATATATTTGTAATAAGCTGATTACATTTTTTCAAATGTTAGTTCTTTAAGTGTTAAAAGTCAGTATTTATTTGCACCGTCAATGATATTTGCGATGATGATATGGAAGCGCGTTATAATATTTTATATATGTTGTGTTATTTTAATCTAATCTATTGCTTCCCAACATTTTTAAAACTTGTCTCTGTTGTCTCTACCGTGAACTGCGTTTCAAGTCATTTTTAATATGAATCGCCGATCTTCGCCAACTCTTTCTCTTCCTTTCCTTTCTATTTTTTGTACGAGTCACGTATTCACGCATGTTGCTTAGCGAGTCACTTTTCGCATTATGCTGTAACAATTAGGCCGGTTTACGCGTAAATACTTAACGGCATTGCGCTGAATGTCGAAACGAGGCCGTTGTTCCCTACCACAGGAAGCAAATGGCACTTTAAATTGCCGGCCGGCACACGCACGTCATCATCACGTCGGTGGATAACTGCACACACGATCCTTCTCTCGTGCCGATGCAATCTCGATTCGACCGACATGGGTGCTGCACAGGGGGCTTTTATCCGAGAACGATCGTCCGCGACGAAAGGCGCGAGTCTCGTATTAAAGACAGACGGCGATCGAGCGGTAATATTTTTTTTCTATTCCGATAATGCTGAACCCGTGTAAGAGATTCGAAGTATCTCTCGATAGTCCAGGTCCTTTCTCGGCGGGAATGTCGCTTTCACGAGCACTTTTATATATATATATATTTCTGCTGATCAATTAAAATTTATAGTCAGGCTTTTATTTTGCGATGTCGTTATTAGTGACTGATATACGATATTAGCGAGTAAAGTTAATAAACTCTTTTTTATATAAAAAATTTTTATTTCCCAAAATTCGATTATCTGATATAATCTTGGGAATTTTAGGATTCTGGTAATTATTTTTAGATATATTTGCTTCGATATTGTATGAGATAATAAAATAAATGATCAAAATAAAGAAAAGTGTATGACTTACTGGGATATATTATTCGATGTCATCGCTTCCTTCGGTATAAGAAATTAATTTATATCGCGTTTCAGAGAGGCTGTCATGTTTCGTTTGCCGATGACCGTCCGTGGAAGACGCAATGTGCAACATTAATGACGCGCATGCTGTGCTATGACCGACTTTATCGGGGGATGCCAGATTGTGATACTTGCGACTCGTACAACCGTTATCACGACAGAGGAGAACGAGGATTAAGCTGGATCGTGAGCATATTGGCTCTTTAGACACGTCATCTCCCTCTTCGTGCACACAGGTGCGAGAAAACGTGCGATCGGAAGAGACGAATAATCCGTGTCGCGATTTGTCGCGATCATCCATCAAGCTGTCGCGCTTCCGTGCATTCCCGATCGAGAGACGATGACGCGCCAGCCTTGATCGTACAACCGCGAGATGTATCTTCAAACAAATAATCAACGGGAGTCAAGCTAATTAACCTTCGCGATTCGAAACGCGATAGCGACCTTTCACACAGCATCGAATGCAATAAACGCGAAACATGGATACTAATAAAGTATTTAAAAATACTTAGTGCCTCTTAATTTGTAAATAATGACTAAACAATAATTTACTAAGAGCATTCTACGCTTCTGACAACACAATTATATTTCAGAATCTTGTTTAAAAATATTTTAATAATGTTAGCAAATATACTGCAAGTTTGTAAATATATACAATACTTTTATTTTTGCAATTAAAAATGATAAACAACTTGCTTATTTGAATGAAAAAAAAAAAAAAAAAAAACAGCGTACAACAGCATCTCATGTTTCGCGAATGAAATATTTCTTCGTAAGCGCTTCGCGTCATCGCAACTCTTTAATGAAATACAAAACGTCCACGTCTTTGTTAATAATGACATCCATGCTTTGACGACGAACGATTACGACACGAAGCGATCGCGACATACGTTACGTCGGCGCTTCACGAACATCAGGCGCTATATTATAATTCCTCTCCCCCCCTTCACCGAGAGAGATGATATCTCGCTTGCGCCATAAATACATTACAATGTATGTTATTGTTGCCGTTATCGATCTGTAACCTGCTTTCTTTGTCCGCGTCTACCGTGAATTATACGTAAGAACGGCAATGTGACGCGCAAAGTTCGTGCTCGTCCTTCGACGATTAATTATACGACTTCTACGTATTGGAAGTAGCGGAACAAATGGAGACTAATTAGGTGTGATAGGATTCGATTATTCAGCAAAACTGATACTGATATAAAAATTTGACAACGGAGTTAATAACAAAGAAAACCGTGCTTCTTTTTCTACTAATTTTAATTAAAACTTTTTAAACTTAGATCTAATTTAGATTAAATTTTTAGGTTTCTCGGTTAATTTTAATGAGAAATTAATGAGAAATTTTCTTGCTTTAAATTTACCAGATATCTTTTGAATTTTTGATTAATTTTAATCATAAATTTTATTTTAATTTAATTTAGATTTTCTGCAAAAATTAATCAACATTTCTGAATTAAATAATATCGTAATTTTTGCGCTAAATATTAAATATCACGATAGAAAATGGACAGCACATCGTGTTTCATGCATTAAAGATTTCTCTAAAAAATTATTTTATGTATGTATGCTATTTGTTAATGTACATATTAACTACTATATCATTTCTGATATCCCATAATTTCATTTAAAGCTGATTAATGTGTGCAACTATTCTCTATCCAAGGAATTAAAAAGCTTGCAGCAAATGATAGTTCGCCATTGAGTTCTTTTTGTTGAAAAAAACATCAAAGCCATCGACTGACAGACTCTTTGATGAATCTGTCAAATAAGTCAGATTCGTTAAAGAACATGTCAGTCGATTAACGCATAATACCTTTAGTATATACACGTATTTCTACATTAAACATGTATGTATTTACACATTCATCACGCGTTCTCGTTATTTGTTCGATAACGCGGAAATTGAATCCTTCGCTCCTTTTCTGATTGGCGTCATTAAAGTTGGGTTGAGAATCGGGTCGTTAAGGCGTACGATCGTGCGATACCTCGCCGGCCGAACGAGCGCCGCATATTTAACTCTCTTCCCCGGTGCTTTCACACACTTTCATAATTTTAGCGTGTGCGGCACTCCGCAAAATTCTATGCACCGGCACGACCGCGTGATGTATGTGCACAGTTCCCGATTTCTCTGCAGAAAAAAAACAACAGCGGAAAACTGCGCGATCAGCGCATTCCATTTTTAGGAAGATATGTCGCGAAAGAGGCGCATTTCTCGACGCAATAATTTATCGATCAAAACACAATCGCGAGCCTCCTCAACAGTTGTATCTCCAATCGTTCCGATCGTTCCAATAAAATGCAGCGAATCCGGTTATTTAGGCGTGCGTTAGTTGCAGAAATGCACGGATCTGCACGCAGAATCCACTAAGGATAGAGATCGAGGTTACGATCGCTTTAACGGTAGTTCCCGCGGGCAGTCACTTCGTTCACGAAACCGCCGGTACGATCGATACTTAATTGCGTCACGGAAATTTCGTCAATTTCATGGCTACCAGTCGTCGACATGGAATTCCTCAAGTGATTAAATAATTTCTCGAATTCTTGTTTCGTATTGCCGTTGGACTTCAAGTTTTTACGGTGCGTATTCAGATAAATTTCTAGAGATAGATTTGTATAGATAAACCTAATTAAAAATGTACTGTTGTATACTGTTCATTAATGGAATAACGCGTGAACTCTATAAATGTAACTCATAAATATACTATTACTATTTTTAATTTTAAAACAATTATCATATTTTTTAATTTCTGAATGATAATTTGGCCTGTTGTAATTTTTTAAATTGCTCCATACTTTAGATACACTTCAGGTTTCTGTCTGGAGAAGCCTTTTTAATTCATTTTTAGCTTTTGATCACATTCCTCTTAGAGATCTTGAATAGAAATGAGGTCGCGAGTACATCGCGAATGGTATTAAGAATGATATTAAGAATGGTATTAATATTATTGCTTTTTGACAAAGTATGCAACATCAAAAAATATAGAAAATTACATCACGAAAGATGAATACGCACTTTTCTCGAACATCTTCGCTAAACACAATTTGTTTAAAGCAAATCGCAGTTGATGCGCATGAAAAACATTAAAGCGATATCACTCTTAAAACACACGCAGCGCGTAAGGATGAAAGTCAGGCATCGAATATAAACTCTCCGCAAAAATTACATCGCGGTTTTATTCCGGCTTTAAAGTCGACGAGCAACTAATAGCAGACTGCAGGAGAGAAGAAGAAAAAGAGGGAAAACTTTCGCAAACTTCACACTTTCCAGCAAACTGACCTATCGATTCGATGAAGAATCAACGATTCAGAGAAGGCGAAAAGAATTAAACGATCATTTCATAATAATTATGCCACCTTGGCCGACTTTACGCGAAAATGTACTCGATTACTTAATATTCAGTGGAATAATATGCAGCAAGCTCATCGAATAGCTAATTATTAATTTCAAAAGAACGTCACAATTATCAAAAGAAGCACACTTACGCGCAGAAGGACGAGTGGCGGCTGATCGCGCTGCGATCGTCAGAGCACCAACCTGCTGGTGGATCGCCAGCCGTTGAAACCCCAGATGACACCCCGATGCTCGGGTTGCATCCCGCAATGGTTCGCCGACGAAAGAAAAAGAACGAATGACACGCAGATCACGGTGCCAACATTCGAACTGTCCTGAAATTTCCGAGTATTCTAATATAAGCATCGCACTTCCCGAAACAAAAACAAGTGGGGATATCGTGAGATGTGATACAAAAAAAAATAGGTAAACAAATAATCTTCCACAAGGTTATCGAAACCTAACACATCAATATATAAACATAACAAGATATACGAGATCAATCAACAATCTACAATTTTGCGAAAGCCCACATCAGCGATCTGGAAAAAGTATTAATAATAAAAAAATCGTAATAAACGTTACCTTCGGGCTCGACGAAGGACTAACGGCTCAGGGAAGACCCCTCGCCGTCGGCGTGTCATGTCATTTCGTCGTGCCTGATCCTCGATCCTCAGCCTCGGCCCTTATCTTCGCCCTTATCCGTCTTCGAGTCAAGTGGTACGCATCGAATGACACCGCCTACGCGCTATCACTACTTTTTCTTCCGCGCTGCCGGATATCCCGCGGAGAGCCAGCACACAAACGAAACAAGACGAAAACGTGAAACCGGACGCGCTTTCTTCTTCGGATTGTCTGTGTCTGCGCGTACGTATGTGAGTGTACGCGCACCAGCAGCTGCTGTAGCCGCTGTCAGATGAATGCAGAGTGAGGAATGGGATACCTGAACGGGGAGGAACTGGAAAAGGGGGAGTTAGCCTTAATCCCTGCAGTTCCTTACGGTCCTCCAAAAATTCATGCACGAAATTTGATTATCGCAGCGGCGGTCACTCGCCCGCAGAAACACGCGCCAAGTTTGAATCACTTTGAATCACCAATTTTCAGTCACTTTGTACCTTGCGCGAGAACCGAGACACCAGTGCCTACAAATCCTACGAATTCTTTTGACACGATCAACCCTTCCCCGCTGGGAGACCTTTGTCCGTTCCGGTTCACCCAATCAGGTTGAAAGAGTCGCACCTGGAAGGCCGGTCGCCGGTCGCCACGCGAAAGGACACGCGTGAGGACCTGTTACGCTCACCTCCACATCACCAGCCGGCATATTCTCCAAAACTGCAAGGAGAATAATTTTGCTCGAGGAGATATCCGTGGAATTGTCTCTATATGACAACGCGAACACGAGAGGACGTCAACTCGCGGTTTCGGTGCCAGCAAGAAAACCGAGACGAAAATACTCGTTGTACGTCGTGTCCGCGTCTCGCTTCGAACTGCCGCCAGACACCAGACCGAAGTCTGCGACTAGGGGGCCGTTCATGGATCGAGAGGGGAGCAGCTCGAGGGAAAGAGAGAGATATGTACGGCACGACAGAGGAAGAGAAAGAGAAAGAAGGAGAGGTGGTCGATTGGTCAACTTACGTGGCCCCGACGGGAAGGGAGATGCCATCGGGACCCAAGGGGCAATGAGGAGCACACATGGAAAGTCACGAAGGAGCAAACGCACATCTGCACATGTCGACGAAGCTGGGAGGAGGAAAGACGGGGGAAGCTTTGTCGTGTGACAGAAGGGAAGATGGGGCCTTCAATCTGTTTGCGTGTCACCAGCCCTTCGCGCGACGTCCAGTCGACGACGGTGATTGACGCAAAAATATATTGCAACGCGACTTTTATGCTCTTTCAGTAATTTAATGATAAAAGAAGGTGTGAAGAATAAGAAAAATCCCTTGTTTTAGACAAAGAGGCAATGTTAACGCGTTTGCGACGAAATTAATGTCTTTATATCTCTCTTTAATTAAATCTATTTTTATTAAAATAATTAAATATTACTCTTATAAAAAGATTATATAAATAACTTCAACATCACGTTTCATATGCAATCGTTGAAAAAAATTGATGTATTTCCGTTCAAGGAATTTTTTATCAATCCATAAAAATATATCCAGACACGAAAGCTGAAAGAAATTCTTTAAGTCGTAATCTGGCAAGGCGGATACGTTAATTAGCCGAAACAAGTTCTCAGAATTCTTTTCGTTAAAGCGTTCTTTCCCACTAAAAATCTTTACTAAAAATCTTGAATCTTCAAATTGTTCTTTTCCGAATTATTCTTGTCAAATTTAAACAACAAAACCCCTCATTATGCTCTTTTATTCAAATACAACGTTCTTAATTTTATATTAATATGTTAAAAATTTGTATTTCTACTAGATTATTAAAATAGATATGTTATTTCACACTTTCTTCGCACAGCAAAATAAAAACGAAATTGAAAACACAAACCGCAAGCAAAATTACAATATAATATTGGGAAAGCACTGTGCCTAAAGAAAAGAAATTTCTCCGATAATAAAGCGAGTGGAATCCAGTTCCGTTAGAATAACAGTCAAGAACTAATATTCGACATCTCTTAACTGTTCAACGGAAATTCGAAGAGGAATTTTAGCGGCTGGCTGGAATTTTCTCGTCTCGAAGACGCGACTAGGAAGTCGAGGTAGTAATTAACTCCTCGATCGTATCGAAAACTGATCACGTGGCGAAAAGGCGAAATCGGATCCAAAGATACGCAGTCGCGCTGAGAATATGTGGGAAGACTTACGACATGGCATATGAGAGTAAAAGGATACCGGCCTACACGAAGGATCACGATCCCGGCAACTTTCTCAGCTATGAATTTAAAAGACAACCCATTATCGTTCGCCGGCCAGGCGGATGATTCGCGCAATCTCGATCGATCGAACATATCCTGCACTGTAAGTGTGAATCGTCGAACAAGAGAGCGACTTCGAACGAGACGAAATGGATTTGCTCGTCCAACAGAATGCGCGCGATTAACATTTTGCTGTCATAGAATTGCGTCTTCAATCGCATCATATTCATTATTGATTTGATTTATTATTGACTGATACGTATTTATGTAGTGCAAATTGATCCTTGCACGGTTAAATACAGATTTAACAATAATAAATCTCAAATTTCTTGTGACAACGATACTTTCACTCATTACTCGTGATTTATTAAAATGTTTAAACGCTCGCGTTTAAGCTTTTTGTGTGGCGGACAGCAAAATGTATCTCTTACGCTCTAAAGTGAACGAAACAAATTACGATCAGATTTCTTTGCATGCGTGCAAATAAAAATAGATGCTAAGCGCAGAATTAATATGTTAATATTTTACATGACGCAGTTTTTCACGCTATTGTAAAAAGTAACAACAATTTCAAAATTATGAATTAATTTGATAAATGAATAATAATAAAAAGTTATATTTAAAAAAAGATTAAAATAATCCTTCAACAATTTTTGTTAAAATTTGTCCAACAACCTGTTTTTCAATTACGATCGCGCAAGTATTGGTGGATTATTGTCGGACGAATAAGTTTGCTAATTTCTTTTCTTTTTGATCGCCGTCATATTACGCGGTTGTGTAACAAGCGTGAGTGTACCCTATGGCGAATCGAACGAAAGAGAGCGGCCTCATGAAATGTAGGTTACACCGGTCAAGAATAAGATAAGAATAAGATAAAATAATGGAATGGAAATAAAATGGTGATAAAATGCAAATCAACTAACCGCAATAACCGCAGATAAAATTTGATAAAATGTGTGGTGCGTGCAAAAATTATCGCGACATATTTTTTCATAAAAAATTTGCTAAATGGCAGATAAAAAAAGAAGTAAAACGGATCAAATAGATTTTTTCAGAAGCACTAAAATAATAAACAAATTTTTCAATTATATACTTCAGTATACTTCAATAAGTAGAAAGATATTAACGTGTAAAAATCTGTTAAATTGGAGTACGTAAAAATCAAAATACTGTACAGACTCTATCTTAAAACTCATTGATGTTCTTTTAATGATAGATTCTCTAACAATTTAAAAAAAATTAAAAACTAAATTATAAACAAATTAAAAATGAGGCTCTTCTATTTGTTAAAACACAAAAAAGAGGAGTTAAAAGAGTTACAGTAGGATCTAAATGCTCAAACTAAATAATTAATACCAAACAGTCAAACGTTTCGACCATGGATTTGGCCATCTTCAGAGAATAACATTTGACTATTTGGTATTAAATATTTAATTTAAGCAATTAAATCCTGCTGTGATTCTTTTAATCCTTCTTTTCCTTTGTGTATTAAAAAAATCTTTTTATAGAGCCATATTTTTAATTAATTTAAAGTCGATTTTAATTAAATTTTAATTTAAAACTTAATTAAAAAGTAATATTGAATATGTAATATTGAAAATTATAGAAAGACATAATAAAAAATAATCTCTTTTAACATTTTCGTTAAAAATCTCAAAATTGTATAGAAAATCTATCATTAAAGAGACATATACGAGTTATGCAATACGCTGTACGTAATATAGTATTGATTAAAATGTATAGTAATAAAATTGCGTGCAACTGTTGCATTCAGTTACTTATTGCATCGGCAATAAGATTATTGCGCGTCGGATCGCATTTGCGTGTCGGATTTTCCATCACATGGCCCTCGAGAAGATTCTCGTTAAAGAAAAATGACAGGATATATCTTAAGTAAGGCCTTCCCAACGAAAGGAACAATAGCATGCTCGCGGTCCGCGAGCGGATCTCACAACTAGGACACGGCTGTCACGATCGTCATTACGGACAATAATTGTTTCAAAGGATTTCCTCGATATCTTCGCACCGAGCATTGCTGGATATAGTCAGCTTGGGCGCTTACTATCAAGCACAGAATGTCCTACAAGTTGTACATAATATTTTCTTCAATTTAAATTTGTGGCCCGAAGGTCATTATTTCCAAAATCTTTAGATTATTTATATTAAATTAATATTCATAACAATTAAAGAGTTTTACATTAAAATTTAATTTGAATAGATAGGAGAATGTCGCGGAACTTAATTCGTCAAATATTTTAATTTTTAACTTTTTGTAATTAAAAAAATTTTTATTTTATTAAGACAATGTATTCTTTTTAATCACATATGTGATTAAAAACATATGTGATTTTTTTCTGGACATTATTTATCATTAAAGTACTGTAATACAAGCACGTTATTGTGTTCCGCTACATTGTTATAGAACAATAATTGGTACAATAATGAATTATAGTATAGCGCCAACGAGAGAACGAGAAGATATATATTAGTCTATATATAGAGTTTAAATTGCATCGATTAATGTTTGAAATTTAATCTTGTTAACTTTGTTTTTTATTTTATCCTATCATAAATTTGTCCATTTAGACAGAACAAATATTCCAGCATCAAAATAAACTTTTAATAAAGCCATATGACAATAATCACAAAATTAATTAACAATATAATAAAATATTAATTTTTCTCTTACATCTTATATCTTTTAATTGCAAAACTTAACGGTTGAAAGCGAGATATTTTCACGTTTGAATTATCATGCCTATTATTCAATTATTCACGTTGTCATTAGTGCATTTTGATAAGCAGATTGGAAGCTTAACGGTCTCTGTTAACTGTTCATCCGACAAATACATTCTGCATTTCTCTATTACGCCAGTTGCACCGTGAGCCAGTGACAGCGCCAGTTTTGTATTGCAGAACTGTTAACAAGCGGTGTGCAGGATGTGTAATTACTCGCGCGCTCGACTGTTACGATTGTCCCGAGGATCCCGCTTGTCGACGCTACCGTGATCAATCTGAGAAAGACGCTTCGAGACGAGCTGTTACGATGGCATAAGCGATTGAGAATTCTTCAGACTAGCGAAAGATCGCAAAGATTTTCTTCTTGCCGTTTTATCTCTTTGGAAATAACTAAATATTTTAAAACATTACGTCGATGAGAGATTTCATCTTATTTCGATCTTGTGCTTTGCAATATCTAATTATTATTCGTAATGAGATGGAACAACATAAAGACGATAGAGCAAGAGGAATAGATAATTGCATAATATATTAGCTATTCCATTTAGTTACATGGATTCTCTATCGTCCTTTACCTTCGCCATTGGGAATAGATAATTAGATATAATTAATGTATGTATAATCCAATTATCCACTTTCTTTGTATCTCAGAGTCCCTTTATACTACTAATGAAAAAATAATGAATTTAATTAACAGTGTACGCGATAATACACGGAACTCGTGAAACGTTGAAATCAATGAATTAATTATTACAATAATCATCATGAAAAAATAATATTTAAAAAATTATCGTTGTGTTTTTTCGTTGCATTTTTTTACAATAAATATCTCTGCGTAATTTTCTGGTAAAATAAAAATATTCGCGGAATTTCTTGTAAAATAAATTAAGAAAATATCTCTCGTATGTTAC